GCCTTGTGGAGTATTGGTGAGACAAACTAGACTGTGTTGAGAGTTAAGAAAGACTTGGCATTGGCAATGCCACTTGAAAGTTGTTTAGAATATCAACTGAGCATAAGTGTGAAGGACCTGGCTGGACTTAATTGGAGGTGAAAACTTGTGTGGTGGCAGGAGGTGAAACTGTGACACAAAACAAGGAAAAAGAGTTTAGGCTTTTGAAGTCCAAGAACTCATAAATGGCTGGCTGGTGGTGGTGCATACCTTTAATTCCAGGACTCAGGAGGCAGAGGTAGATGGATCGCTGTGAGTCCGAGGCCAGCCTGGTCTACAAAGTATGTTCCAGAACAGCCAGGGCTACACAGAGAAACCCTGTCTTGAAAAGACCTAAAACAAACAAACAAAAATTCATAAATGACTCTGAAGTTTGGAAGTCTCAAGGGCCATAATGCCAGATCTCAAATGCAAGACTGAGCAATGGTTTAGTGGTGATGAGTGTGGGCTGAATATCTCTCCTCTGAAATGCTCAGGACCAGAAATGCTTCATATGTCAGAGATTTTTTTGCACTGGGAAATATTTGCACAGACCTTGCTGTGTAAGCATCCCTAATCTGGAATTATGAAAGGCTCCAAAATCTAAAAACATCATGGCACACAGTTTAAAGTTTTCAAAGTAGAGACACTCTACATATATAAAAAGCCTGGGTTAGTTGAACAAGAGTTGATCCACAGAGCTCCACCTTTGCAAGCATGACCCAGCAGCAATTATATACAGTGGATTTAAAGGTAAAGGATCTTGGTGAAGATGATGTTTACAGGAGGGACTCTGGGTCTGAATTAGAATAATGCCAAGAGAAGCCGAACCGAGACGATAGAAAGTAGATGCAATTTAAAGATAGAAGCTGCATGACGGAAAGTGGGTGGACTCTGGAAAACAAGCATCAAAAATGAAAGACTGAATAAATTAATTACCTATGTCCCTTTTGAAACCTGCAAAGTGGAAAAAGAGATACATCTACAAGATCAAAAGAAAGAGCAGATCTCAACAACAAAATGTTGGAAGCTAGGGAACAGATCTGGGGGTAGGAAAAAAAAAAAGCTTGGCAAATTAGGGAGAATGAAGTGTTGGAAAGCACCAGGAAAAGCTAATGACAGCAGATTTCATACCAAAACAGATAGTCAGGATCGATACAGAAGCCATGAGAACAGGCCAGTAAGCAGTACTCCATGACCCCTGCATTAGCTCTGTCTCCCGGTTCGTGCCATGCTAGAGTTTCTACACTGACTTCCCTCAGTGATGGACAGTGATGTGAAACTGTAAGCTGAAGTAAACCTTTTCCTACCAAAAAAAAGTAACCAAAACAGAAGGGACTGGGAGATGACTCCGTCGGTAAAGTGCTTGTGGTATAAACCTAAGAACCTGAGTTCAGATTCCCAATGTCCACATTAAAATGCCAGGTGGCATATGTCTGTAACCCCAGTGTTTGCAGGGATGGAGGTTAAGTGTGTCACTGGCCAAGAAGTTCACCAGGTTTGAAGAGCTGCCATGTTTAGTGAGAGACCTCATCTCAATAAATGAGGTGGCATGTGACCAAGAAAGACCCCAACGTTGACCATTAGCCTCCACACTCATGCATATACAAAAGCACACAAAAACAAAAAAGAAAATGAAAAGAGGAATTGACTAAAAGTCAAAGAAGTTGGCCTCCCAGATCTTGTTCTGTATCATACAGACAGAACACTAGACCTGGCATGACAAAGTAAGGAGAGCCAATACAGTTCTGCTGAAAAGGTGAAGCACGGGCTTTGGAGACAATCAGGGGACAGTAAGAATCCAATAGTTCAAACATTCATCTCATGCTCACACATTGCCTGTTCAAATTCCCAGCCTTCTCTGTTCATTTGAGTTCCAGGGACTTATTCTCAGGCAAAGATTTGGAAGTGTTGTTCCTGGGTATACGAGATGTCTCATGCAAAAGACCTGACAGCAACATTCCAGCCAGCTCAGTTATAGTGAAACCTAAAGCTACACAATCCCACATGCAAAGAGATGCTGTTGAGGCGTCATTAATAAAACATAAATAAGCTAAGTGGAACCTAAGGGTCTCCAGACATGAAAGGGAAAGTCTTCAGGATAAAACATACAGGAATAAGAGCCTTCGAGTTAAGACAGATAGAAAAAGAAAAAAACACTTCAAAATAACTACCATTTAGGCCTGGGGAGTGGGGAGACACAGCATCCACAGGACAGAAACATCCTGTTACTAAAAAGGAACAAAGGAGAATAAGAGTTCTTAGAAGCTAAGGAACAAAAGTTGGAAGGTAAAACTAAGGAAATTTCTCAGGAGCTATAGCAAAAATATCAAAGGAATGAAACCTAAGAAGAAAGCATGAAGCTGTTAGAGCAACATCCAAGTACCTAAGAATTCCACACAGAGCAGGGGGTAGGCATCAGAGATAGGAATCTAGAAACTTCTCCAGAACTGGAGGGTGAGTTTTTAGCTAAAAGAGGCCCTTTGAAGACTGACATAGTCCCACATATAATTTTAACAAACTAGATGGAAAAGAGAAAAATCCTAAAAATTTACAGAGAGGAGTAAAAAGAAATTCAGATAAAATATGAAGACTAGGATTTAGCTATAGTAAGGCCGAAGGATAGGAGACAACAAAGCAATGCCTTCAAACAACAAAGTTGTACAACCTCAATTACATGTTGAGAGTCATTTTTGCGTTATGTGTAAGCCCAAAATCACTTCTTTTTGTGACCCTCTTCAGGAGACCACTGGATGTCAGGCTCTACTGAGTTGAGAGAGTAAATCAGAAAAGAGAAGAATGAATGGTAGAAGGCAGGAGTGCTCCTCAAGAGACAGCCACACAAAAATCCTAATGAGAAGAAATCAGAATGTCCCATTAGGGGTGTCCAACCTTTTGACAGTGTAGCATGATGTCATTTACAAATGTATTATGTTATATTTATAACTATCCAGGGACATATGAGGCCTTTATGGGAACTGAAGGCTGGATGTGTGAGATTAAATAGTGAGATTAAATCACTATTATATCCAAATACCTTAGACATTTTAAGAGATTTCCAAAATTGGAAGCATCTCTAGATAGAAATTAGTGACAAAATTGGGAAACTGAGTTGTGTGATCAAAAGTTAAGTTCAGAAGAACACTGATAAACAGAGAGGATTTCATAGGAAAAATTTCTGGCTGGACACTGAGAGTTGAAAAGGCAACATTGAAAACATTAAGAACAACAGAGGTAGGAGATGCAGCCAGCAGCTACCAGCTCTGCACAGGGAGAAAAGAGAGGCTGTGGACCAGTTCAGACATGCAAGCTCAGAGGGAGAGTATCTGTGCTGGCTAGTTTTATGTCAACTCGATACAAGCTACGGTCATAAGAAAGGAGGGAGCATCACTTAAGAAAATGTCTCCATGAAGATTGGGCTGTAGACAAGCCTTCATATTGTCATTGTTTTACAAACACTGAAGTCTCATTCAACTGAAATTCCAAAGAAATCACTGACTAGATGGAGAAGATGAGAAGTGTGTTGTTCAAGGGGTGCAAGGAGATGACAAAGAACCTAAACACAACTCTTGCATGACTGGAAATCAACAGGGAGTGCTTGAAAGAAGGAAGTTATGTGAGGTGGCCATTGCAAGATGAAGAGATGGACGTGCGAAACAACTCACTGGAAAGGGTAGAAGTGACACCCAGGGAAGCAGGAATAGAAGGGGACACTGAGACATTTGCTTCTCACAGCAAGCCTTGCTGGGTACCACATTTGGCACGAGTTCTTTAGGCAGGCAATCTTGTTTTTCCTCTTCTCTGTAGTTGCTGCCCAGTGATGGTGACCACTGGTGCGAAAGGGTGGCTCACCAGCCATTCTGAGACCTTGCTCTCAAGCCCAAGGGACCTAGAATTACATTGAGAAAGTTCTATAGAACCAACAACAGTTAGCAAGGCTGCCCATAATGGATGCAGGCAGACTCCCTGGGCTCCCACCTGTGGGAGAGAGTGCTTATTAAGGGCAGCTTCTGGTCATCGTGAGACTGACATGACCCTTGTCATGCTAACCCAGCCTACTTCAGGAGCTGACAGCCCACCTGTTTGGCTTCATATGTACCAGAGCTGACCTGAGCTGAGCAGAGCCGAGCCGAACAGAGCCGAACCGAGCAGAGCCGAGCAGAGCCAGGTTCTCTGTATGTCCAAGGAGACTGCATCTGTCAGCATGTGAGGAGAGCAGGGGTGATTAATGAGATGTTGAGTCTGGAGCAAACACTGAGCCTGAGCTACTGACTTAGAGCCAAAGGCCCTTCAAAAGATGCATCCAGTTTATCCAAGCCCAGGGGAACATATGCCCTAATTCTTTGGGTAATCGAGAGAACCACTTTTTTTCACATGGGCTTCAGGCTGGTAAGACGTCTGTAGGCATTCAAGTGTGTCCATGTCCTCTTCTCAGAATGCAGGATCATTCCTCCTGTGTGCACACCTGTAATGTTTGCTCGTGCAAGTAAAGGCTCCACTAAGTCTCCACAACCCCCAAAGCATCCCTGCTGCTTCTCAGAGCCTGCCTGATCCAAAGCCCTATCTCTCACAGCATAACACTCAGCTGTCACCAGCTCTGGCCAGCCTCTACATTCTGCTGGAAGGAATACTCTCTTTGTGTCATTTGGAGGGAAAGACAAAACAGGTCCCTAGGATGCTGTGGAGCCTGGCTTCCTAAACAACTTTGCCCTCTGGATTGTGGTGAAAAATAGGAGGGTGATGAGGTGACCTAGGGAATAAAATCCAAGTAATGCTCGCTTTTAGTCATGAAGATGCTGTGCGTTACATAATCTACTGTTGTACTCTCAGAAACTTTGGAAGTGTTAACAGCCCTCAGAAAGTAGCCAGTTACACTTCATATTTAACCTCTAGCAAAGAACAGCCCCCAACGTATGTTCCAGGCTAGGCCTGGGTCACCTGCATCATGCTGAGACTGATGTGAGTACACTCTTCTCTTCCAGATTATGACATCTGTGCCCAAGCCCCCTGCGAACAGCAATGCACGGATAACTTCGGCCGAGTTCTGTGCACGTGTTACCCCGGGTACCGATATGACCGCGAGAGACACCAAAAGCGGGAGAAGCCGTACTGCCTGGGTGCGTAGGAAGTGAATTTCCAGCTCCTGGGGGCTTGCTGTGTTCAGACAGAACTGCTCTTTGTTGGACAGTTCAGAGAAGCCATTCTAATCCACCATTCCACCTGTGAAGTCATTGGACTTGTGGGATGGAGTGGTGTTTGGCTTTTGCCCGTGGATCACTTGATAGTATTAATCATGTTAGTCAAAAAAAATAATGTCCAAGGATGCCTTTGAGAGATGGAGCTAGTCAGAGCCTGACTGAGAGGAGAGATAAGAGCTAGAAAAGAAGGACAGTGTCCTATGTAGATTACAGTGGTGTAAGACGGAGCGTAAAGGATCAGAAGCCAGGAATCCCACACTCGGGAGGCAGAGGCAGGGAGATCTCTTTGAGTTCAAGGCCAGCCGAGTTTACAGATTGAGTTCCAGGACAGCCATGTTTACATACAGAGACCCTGTCTCAAAAAAAAAATCATAAATGTAAACTCACAGAACAAAATGTGGATAGGTAGCCCCAGAGGTCAAGCGAGACAACAGAAGTATGGGTGTGTTGAGGAGCTGGGAACCAATTTGAAGAAAGCTGAGGCTAGCTGCATGGGTTGCAGCTGAACAAATAGCCTGGCCACCCTCAGTGGCCACCAGCCTGTTTCCTTTGTCACCTGTTTCTTTTGACTAGGGTTTCCCACCATACCTTTCAAAGAAGGCTTCAGACTCCTTGTCTCCAGGGACTGTGTATCAAAATGTGGTGATGATTCTGTGGCCAACCTGGGCTCTTGGCATCCTTTCCAGAGCTGATGAGACACAGCGCTGAGAAGCAGTGGACCCGGGAATGTGCCTTTTCTCAAATGATACTAAGTGACTGACAGGTCTGCTGAAGTTCAGGAATCAGAAGATGAACTGAGACCACCAACAGGCCCAAGCAGGAACCAAAGCTGCCCTGATAAACAGCCCTTCCCCTCGGTCAAGCAGGGCTCTAGGGAAAACATTTGGGAAAAAGTCTAACTGAGGCTCTTCTGCAGATTCCCAAGGCTATCGGGGAACAGTGTCCCACACCAACAAAGAGTGGGGCTGACACTATTACGTGAATAGAACAGGAGCCCATGACACCACCTATCTAGAGCAGGGGCTGTTCCCAGTGGCTCAGTGCCACACAGGAAGGCTAATATTCCAGTGTCCAGTAGCTACTTTAACCTGCTGTTTTCTTCTGATGACCAGAGGAAGTTGGGCTCAATAGAGTGCCCCAGAGCACAACAGCTTCATATGTAGTGTTAGGACAGGGACACCTCCCTGTGGGCTTCAGCTGGGACCTCTAGCCTCTAGATGACAGGATGGACTGCTGGGGTAGCTCCAGCACTGCCACGCTCTGCTTGGCACCCTTGGCTCCTGTGTGATCAGGTGCTTGGTGGCTTGCCCAGGCAGCAGTGGGGAAGCTCAGGGCTGGACTCTGTCTTCCATGTGTGTGGAGTCTGCAGTTGGATCCTCGTTCCCATCCACCACAACCAGGTGTCTACACCCAGTGGACAGGAAGTGAAACACAGCCTCCACCATTTTCCTGTGGTGAGAAACGGTTGTTGTTTCCACCCCGTGCCACAGGGAACCGGGTCAATGAAGTATACAGTCCATGCTGACTCTCTTATGGTCCCTTGTTTGATGATCTCATGGCTCATTTCCACAGCTCACCGGGGCTCAGGTTGGGGTCAATACAAGGCAGGGACCTCCTGGGGAAACCTCTCTCTGTGAGGCCCATCCGACTATTTACTTTTGTTAGAAGTAGCGTATTCCAGTTGCTGCCATGTCTCTCAGCTGGGAAGAAACCATTCCTAAATGACCTCTGGGTCAATATCGTGCTGCTTGGAACCTCTCACTATAAAGGGAAACTGAAGCACACTGGCCTTCCTGTGGGAAGGCGGCTGTTGCCAGTCACCTTCCACAGAGGCCTGGGGAGTGCTTAGGGCTGGCCTCATCGCCATGCTCTGAGTGCAGCTCTGAGACAGACAGAGCCCTGTGACAGACATAATGATAGCACATGGTCCAAAGCGCAGTTTTCATGGATGGCCTGCATTCCTAGCACTTGTCCTTGGTTCAGGTCTAGAAGTTTCTCTCTCTCACTCATACCATTAGACCAGGGTGGTGTTGGCTGCTGTGGTGAAATTGTTCTACCTCTTTGGTTCAAACTCTAGATATCGACGAATGCGCCACCAGCAACACCACCCTGTGTGCGCACATCTGTATCAACTCCATGGGCAGCTACCGCTGTGCATGCCGGGAGGGCTACATCCTCGAGGACGATGGAAGGACGTGCACCAGGGGAGACAAATACCCCAACGACACAGGTGAGCAGAACGAGCATGGTAGCCCTAACTGTGCACATGCTTCCGTGAGACACCGTATCGAATGTCGGTGTGAGAATGTCTCATACAGAACAACGAAATTATGTCTTACATGCCTATGCGATTTCACATTCTATAAATGTAAGCTTCTATGTATAATGAATAATGATATTTCATGTACTATGATGTATACAATCAAATATGAGAATATACACACACTGTTATGTGTAATAAAATTAAATATAAACTACAGTTCATATTGTATATAGTAAATATTTTTAGTATTATTTACTAACAATACATAAATAATATATGTATTTTTTATTCCATTTTATACATTCATATATCATATATATTATGCATAGCTTGCAAATTATAGGTGCTTGGGAGCACATCCACCCCTTTGGGGGCTCTGTGCAGGATTGGATACTTATGGGTAGGACCTAGGTGAGAACCAAAGATCAAACTCATCCTGAGGAGGGCTGGTGGGAGAAGTGCCTGTGTCTGCTGTTGCAAGTGTCCTAGGGCGGAGGAAGGTGGCAATGCCCGTGGAGAAATCAGTAGCAGCTGGCTGTGTGTTTTCAAGAATCTGGAATGAACAGGGAAGAAGCCAGGTGGTCTCTGTTCTCTCAAAGAAACTGTGCTCAAGTATGTACTTGAATAATTTCCATACATGGTCCCAGTCTATTTAAGCACAGCACAAAATGCAGTCCATATCGAGTGCCCATCTGTGTACTAGCTGTTTGGTTCCTGATCGGATAAAAATGGAAAGTGAGAGCATGTATGAATTTTTACACCGACTTGACAGAGGACATTTATTTAAATTCCAAATTTTATGCTTGTATTTCACATGATCTTTTGAGCAACTCCTCTTGTATCAGTCCACGGTCAGCTGCAAAATTTCTACCAGCTGGGGATTCAGCACGGAGCTGTGAGGCGTGAGGCTGCTGGACTCTAACACAGCAGCCAGATGCAGCCGAGATGGCTGGTTACTGAAGCCTGGGAGCAGCTTCTGTTCAGGGTTCTTCTTTGAGAACCCTTTCTTTTTAAAAAGAAAGAATAAAGCAAAGGTGGAAGAAAGAGAAAGAGAAGAAAGAAAAGCACTCTCAGATTGTTAGGCAAATGCTTGTAATAGTCACTGGCACAGTAACTCAGATACCTCTGCCAAATGCCAAGCTAGTCATTAAAATTTAGAAGTTTAGCCTGTGGACACCAATGTCAATCACCTTGCAGCTGGAATGGACTTTGAGGCAAAATAGCCTTCGCTACCAGTGTTGGCCAGACAAGTTTCCTGGAGAGAAAGCCCTTAGCCATTTAGAGGGCCAGAAGTTGAGTTCTGCATCATAAACAGTTTACACACACACACACACACACACACACACACACACACACAGTCACAGTCAAGAGAAGTTAGATGGCCCGAGCTATCCCTGGGAAGCCGGGAGGCTCCTAAGGGCAAACCACGATGTACCAAGATGTGCAGATGAGAAAAACAGAAACATCTGGGCACTCAAGAGACGGAGCCTGAGCTTCAGAAAGGGTCCGGGAGGCAGCAGACAGCTGGAAACCAGCTGCCTCACAAGGAACAACTACAAAGGCAGATTCTGAAGGGCAGCTAGGTTGAGTCATTGAGAAGTCACCACGTGCAAAAAGTCAATGCAAAGTAGCTACTTGGAGCCAGCTTAGGACAGGGCACTTAGGGACGTTGCTGCATGAGCTAGAGGGGTTAAGCATCATTTGAAACTCTGACTCATGTAGAGCCTACTCATCCAGAGAGCACCACAGATGGAGGCACAGCGATCTCTGGGGGAAAAAAACTTATTTGGGGAGGTAATTTACAGACCATTTTTTTATTCAAAATTAAAATCACTGCAGTTTGGCCCATTGGCAAAGAGGATCAGAGAAGGGAAGGAGGTGTGGTGTATCTCGTAGGCTGTGTTCTTTTCTGAAATGAAGGCATCCTTTGACAGTGGGGGCCACCTTTTAGCCACCGGTCCATTCATATGTGGGAGGTTAGGGGAAATAGTCACAAGAAAGCAGCTTGCTAATTTTTCACTTTAGAGTTGGCCTTCCAGCTTCCTATACACCATTGGCTGTGGGTTGCCTGAATTGCTGTAGAGATGAGTCCTTTTTTACATGGACAGGATGGAGCCTGGAGAAACCCAAAACAGAAAAAACATTAGAACAGCAGTCACGTGTTTCTGAGTGTCAGGGCAGAAATCCATGTTGGGGAGTGTTCAGATGCCCATAACACAAAGCTGGCTCCTCCCACAAGAAGCCCCTGCCTGGTAGCGCAGAACAATCTTCAAGGACAGAGACACTAACAGCAGGAAGAAGAGAGGCCAGATGCAAGTTCCAGGGGATAGAGTGGCTCAAGAGCAGAGGATAGTGATTCAGCCTGGCATAGAACAGGTGGAAACAGGGCTGACCTCCACTGCGCCATATTCAGAGATACCTTATTCCTCTAATGGTGCAAATAGGAAATGTCCTTGTCTTTTGCTAGAACAAACCACCTGGTGATTTTACCACCAAGCCTTACTGAGACACAAAACTTAAAGAACCTGCATCAAGTCATAGGTTTTCTCCTGTTTCCCTCTGCCTCTGCCTCCACCAACTACCACGTATAGCAATTTCACATGTTTTCAAATAAATAAAACACACTAATAAAATGCCATTGTCAGGTCTTTCATGAGCTCCAGAAGTGTGATCCCTAGAAAATTATTTCACAATATTTACTCTTAATTTTCAGTTTACAATCACCACTGAACCTAACATACATGTACAGATGGATTTGGTTTGGTTTTATATTTTACAAAGAAGCATTATACCTGGAATCGGGAGTGTTCAGTATAGAAATTTAGAAGTCATTCATCCAGACAGTTTTCAAAAAGGACAGGCTCTTTGTGCACCTGTAAGGTTCCTTTCCTTCAACCGCTTGGCCACTGAGCCACCTGCCTTGAAATGCTTTCTCCCTGCCTCTGCTGACCCTGGGGACAGAGAGAAGAAAAAGAGAAGGAAAGAGCCCTGGACTCGTTTGCCTGACAGCCTTGATAACACAGGAAGTACCTTCCCTGGGAAGTTAGCGCAGCCGAGCAGGGCTGCCTTAGTGATTTGAGGCTGGTTTCTGGAATGTTCTCTTTGGTGGACAAGATTGATCTCCAGTTGCAGGGCCTGTTTATCCTTGGAAAACTTTTCAGCAAGTTTGCTGGGCTACAACATAGCGATGCAAGCCCTACCTGCCATTTTCATTTCTTTGTCCAGTAGCCGTGCAAGTACTTAGACTTGAAAACACGCCCAGCTCTAACACCTTCTGTACAGGGAACGTTCCCTACAGTATCTCAAGGGTGAGCAACTCAATGCTAAACTGCGCTTGCAGCAAATGGAGCCTTCTAGGCATAAGGCAGCTAAGCATTTCCATCTGCTTTATACAAACTAGTTAACTCAGTATTTCGTCACTCTTTTTTTTTTTTTTTAATGAAGATAATGGTTATTGAGTACAAACACGTCATCTAAAATCACCTCTCCCTGTCTAGTCTATGTTTTGAGTTTGAGGGAAGTTCTTTAGGGAGAGATGTGTCTTAAACTTTTCATTGTCCGATGTCTGCAGCGTTACAGGCAGACACATTTAAAATGAAGATGAGCAGTGATCTCCTCCTCTTACAAGCTTTGATGCCCTGAGTTTGATCCCAGAACCTAAGTAAGGGTGGAAGGAGGGAACCAACTCTGCAGAGTCGTCTGACCTCCACGTGTACACATGGCACGCATGCATACACATACAAACTCACACACAGGCTCACATGTATGCATGTACTCATATACACAGAAGAAGAAGAGGAGGAGGAGGGGGGAGGAGAAGGAGGAGGAGGAGGAGGAGGAGGAGGAGGAGGAGGAGGAAGAAGAAGAAGAAGAAGAAGAAGAAGAAGAAGAAGAAGAAGAAGAAGAAGAAGAAGAAGAAGAA